CTGGTATCGCCCTGCCAAGGGCGGAGCCCGAGCCGCCGTTACGCCGGGGACGGGGACTGCCCGACCGTAGCGCTCGAGGGCGGGTACCGCGGGATGAGAGTCACTACTAGGGCAGGGAGGGACCGAAACTGGATGGTCCAGCTCAGCACCCCTTTCCCTGCGCGTGCTGATAAAGGCAGGGCAGCCCAGTGAATGGATTTGACCTCTTTTCTGGAGCTGCTGCAATGCATTGCCCTGCCGAAGTGCTTTACACATCCACCCTCCTAAAAATTGTGCCCGGCCTTTGGTGATTAAAGAGTTGTGAGCTTTTATAGGTGTGAACTCTTTGTCCTGACTCTCAGAGTAGCTCCCAGATGTGTCCTACTTGCTGTTCTGCCTGCCTGAATGGTGCTTCATTTTCTGTAATCCACTGCACATATCATTTCACTATATTTATTTATTTTATTGTATTATTATTTAATCATGATGTTTTTATGGCTCATTCTTAGCCCACCATTATTTGCCTTGGTTAACAGAGTGCAGATGAATGTTGTATCATTTATTATTTAACATTAAACAGCTCTCTAATTGGTGCTTTTCAACAATAAATCTCAAACCACTTTTAGGAAGCCTCAGGACCCAGTTTGGTAGGTTAGCTGCACATGATGGGGGCAATCATCCATGCTGAGGATCCCACCAGTCTTTAGGCAGGAACTGGATCTCAGGACTGAAGTGGCTTTGTGTGTGTGCAGGCATCTACAGGGTTAGGAGGAAGCTTGGTGGGGGTTTTGAGGATCTCAGGTTTTTATTTAAAAAACTAAGGAAGCAAACAGGCACTTACATTTCTTTGTGAATGTCACTTTAACATTATTTCAGAATAAATTTTAAAAAACAAATAGTTTGGTTGCATGGTATCATGAGCTTTTGTGGGCACAGAAACACTTGAGCAGATTAGGTGCCTAAATCCCATTTAAATTAATGGGAGTTAGGTATCTTATCTTCTTAAGCAATTTTGAAAATTCTACTAGGTACCTGTCTGCCATTTTAGACACCAAAATACCTCTGAATGATCTTCCATATGGCTATATTAAACAATATTTTGTTTGAATGGGCCATGTCTACCAAACAATATAGATCCCTCTGTATGACTGCCCTGACATAATTTATCTCTCTTCCAATCTTTATATCATTTGCAAATATTATCAGCAGTGATAGATAAAAAAACTGCATAGCATCAAGTCTAGTATTGATGTCTGTGGAAACCCACTAGAAAATAACCCCAATAGACTATTAAGTCATATACTCATTCTGTATCTCTGTCTCTCTGCCTGAATGCATATTTATTTATTTATACACAGTGGAACAGTTTTAACAGGAAACATAAAGACACACGTCAGAATATCCCATAATCCAATAATTAGGGAACTCATCTGAGAGGCATGAAACTCATATTCAGATCCCTTCTCCTCCTTGCCAAACAGTGGGAATGGGCACAAGCTCACCAACAGGGAAGGACAAAAAGGGACAGTTGCCCTGGGCTCCTTTGAATTGCTGCTGGAGCACCATGTCACACACCTCATGTGGCACTGAGAGCTAGGGGGTGGAGTGCTGCATGCTTCCTGCAGTGCAGAGAGCTAGCTGCCCCCAGCTCTGCCCCTTCTGCCCAAGGGTCCTCCCCTTCTGCAAGTGCAGAACTGGCCCACACTCACTTGCCCAGGGCCCACGGAGACTGTAAACTGCCCTGAAAGGGCATCTTTCACATTTCAGATGAATTCTATAACAACTGAGCTAAAAGATATCTCTTTCCATACTTTGTGTGGTGTTAGGCATGCACCACTATTGTTCTTTATTGTTCTTTCCAAAGATGTCTTAGGTACTTGACTTTATGACAGTTTTCCTATCTGCAAATCTGGAGAAGCAATAACACACTTAACTCCCTGAGGCTATGTCTATACTACAGAGTTTTTCTGGGATACCTCTGGTATCCCGAAAAAACTCTGCCATGTCCAGGGAACGCATCTGCTTTTTCAGATCAGTTTCCAAAAAAGTGAATAAAAGATCCAGAAATATAAATGTACATCTACACCTGCACTCAAATCTTAAGTTGATCTACGTTAGGTCAACTTAAAGCTACTACAGTAATTACTGCAGATGCTGTCGTCTACATTATCCTCTTCAATTGGTGGTACACATCCTCATCGGGAGCGTTTCCAAGTTCCACTGACGGAAGAGATACAATGTGGGAGGCTAAGAGTCTGGGTTCTCAGCTCTGTACAGCTCCCTTAGGGAACACCAGCTGCCACTGGGCTTCTCACCTTCCTGCTCCCAGCTGGAAGCACAGGGATGTACCTTGGAGGCTTCTTGCCTCTGATGGGGAAGAGACATGGCTGGAGTCTGGATGCCTTGCTCGTGGTGGAAAGCCAGGACTCTGTGGGGCAGAAGCTGAAGCTAGGAGCCTTGAGTGAAAGGCTGGCTTGAAGCAGAGAGCCAGCAGCAGATCAGCTGAGGAGAGCAGTGAAATTGACAAGAATGTCAGCCAAGAATATGTAGTGTCTACACAGATATTGTGTAGCCCTAACTGCACTGACTAAGCCTTACAACTCTGATGGAACTGGAGTTTTTCTGTTGGTGTAGTGAGGCACTTATGTCAGTGAGAGAGCAAAGCTGTAGTGTAAAAACTTCCATAGGTATGTTGATGTAAGCTGCCCATATGTAGATCTAATCCTTAGTGCAGACCAGTAACTCAAAAAGCATCAGGGTACCCCATAAATAAAAAAGGGTCGATCAGATCTTTAATACTTGAGTGCATACAGAAACAATTGCCAACCTTATGTAGTTTACAGCTGTGATAGAGCCAGAGCCATAGGACAGTTTGGGGAGGCCAACCTAGGTGCTGTGTGTTGGGGGGGGGTGGCCCTGCGGCAGCTGCCTCAAACATCCTGTGGATGGGATCCATTGGATTACCTGGGGGCCTGGTGCATGATGGCTGCAGCAGTTCCCTGTGCCCGTGGTCTCACCGCAACAGTAGGAGTCAGAGCAGCTTGTTCCACTCTGTCCTGCTCCACTGCCCTCTCCTGGCCCACTGCACTCAGCTTCTCTGCAGCAGCAGGAAGCAGAGTGCCCTGTCCCCAGAGCACTCCATTTCCTGCTGCCACAGAGAAACCATGTGCAGAAGTCTAGGAGAGGGTGGCAGGGTATAGCGGAGTAGGCTGCCAGGCAGCTCCAACTTCCATCATCTCGGTGAGTGCGAGGCAGGGAGGCGACCCCTGCTGCCTCCTCACCAGGGGCAGGATTTGAGGTAAGGGGGCAGAGCAGGGGCAAGGTGAAAGTGGAGCAGAGGTCAGGCAGAGGTGGGAAGGGGTTGTTCCTGACTGCACTCCTGGGGGGGGGGTTGTCCAGTCCTGTGTCTCCCTAGGGACAGCCCTGGATAGACATAGGACTCAGTAAGATTGTGCACTTTAATGTCGATTAGTTTTCATAACGTATAAATGTATTGTCACATAATTTGTGGGCATCTCAGATTAAACATTGTCTAATTTTTGTCATGTTGCAAATATAAGAACATAAATATGAAATGTACTTTATATTTTAAATTAAATCAAATCTTTACAAGTATGTTTTTTGCAGTCAGATATTGTTTGTGGAACCATTCAATTAGATTGAAACCAGTAAAACAGGCAATTAGGTATGGCTAATTAAAGGATTTGGCCATTTTTCAATATCCATTTTCATCTAGAACAGGGGTCTCCAAACTTTTCTGCCCGAGGGCCGCATTAACTATCAAACAGCAGTTCGGGGCCGACTACACACTTGAAGTCCAAATAAAAAACAATCAAAACATGGATGTTGTTTTTAATTATTTATTTAATATTATTTTATTCAGTTATTATTTAATAACACATTGATACACTACACATGAACACCTGTATTAGTGTGAATGGTGAAATTGTTTCCTGGATGCCAAAATAGCAGACATTTCTGGCTTTAGATTTGTTGTCCCTAACATCAACAGTGACCTGAGATTATCATCGGACAAGTTTGTTCTCAAATTGTTCTTCACATATTTCATTCTTGAAAATGTTTGTTCACACAGGTATGTTGTTCCAAAGATTGAAAGGTACCTTGATGCAAAAGTTTTGACATTAGGAAAGTCTTCCTTGGGCAAAAACTGGTAAAAACCCACCAGTCCTATTTTGAACTTGTCCCTAAGGAGGTCATTTGCTTGCAACTCAATGACTTCCAGCTGCAGTTCATCTGGGCAACTGGCCACATCTGCTTCAAATGGGTTTTGAAACAATCTCACTTCTTCTGCCTTTGAATCCAAAAAGGTCTCCACGGGCCGGATGAGAGGCCCTCGCGGGCCGCATCCGGCCCCCGGGCCGCAGTTTGGAGACCCCTGTCTTAGGGTATAGATTATTGTTCAAACATAAAGACTAAAATGAAACAATTGAATTGAAAATGTGGACTGCTGCCCCACACGCTTTTCCTTTGCCTCCCTTCATTTCCAACATGTCTTCTCAAAACCCTCTGAGAGGGTCTTTCTGTGATTTTCAAGTTCCCCTAATCTTTCCTGTCACCTCTTCTTCCTCTGAACTAGTAAACAGGCAGTGAAGAATAACACTGTTAATGTGTTTTCACTAGAAGCAATTGCTGTGTTGACTGATTAATTTTGGTGTGTCCATTCTGGATTCTTACTTGTAGGAAAGACAAGCAACATCCAGTGCTGGTTCTGTCCATGTTGATTGACAGTATGCAAGGACCACTGTTTTCATGGAATCCAGAACTTTCTGTTAGAGATGTTTACTCAGGATTTTCATTATCGCCCCAAGGAACTCCATACCAATGTGATTATGTGAACTGCATTCCTCAGAATACTCCTGTTTTGTCACAGTGTAGTCCTGCTTTGTGGCTGTCTTAAACATATGTTTAGTCCCTGTACATCTATGTCTACCCTACCAAGTTTTGTTGACAAAATTTATTCTAATAGTAACACCCAAAAGCTGACAAAATAAAAATTGTCAAAGGCCGTTCACATTTGCTCCTTCTGTCCACAGATCATGGACACCACATCACACACAAGTGTATGTATCCCACAGTGCGGTGTTGTGGGAAGGCACGGCTAATCCCTGCAGATCTTGGGATTTCCTCTGAGTTCTTCCACAGCCTCCTCAGCTGCTGGGAGCATCATCATGAAGAGCTCTGTGAGCTCTCAATGCTGGGGAATGTTAAAGCAGCACAGCAGCTTGTCCCCCTCCTCCTGCAGCACTAGTCTGCCTGCTGCTGTGTTCCTAGTGAAAGGGAAAACAGGAGCAGTGCAACAATTTGCTCCTTTGTTTATTCCCCAAATGGAGTAGCACACTTAGCTGTCAGACCGAACCCAGAGTTTTGGAAGGAGAGGGATGCCTGCATAACTGCAGAGAAGGCATTCTGTGGACAAAACAAACAGTGTCTATGCTGGCTCTTTTTGGACAATAAAAGGAGGGGGAAAGGAAAAAGTATCTTCTAGGGGTGGACATTTTTGGATGCAGGGGCAGTGGTTATTGGAGGTGGTGTTTGTGGGGATTCTGTATGGTGGAGCTCTGGTTTTGCATGACAAGAGTAAATAGTGTTTTACCACATGTAGCAGCAATAGTGAGGGGTTTATTTGGTTATGTGTAATGAGGTACCTAATAAGGGTCCTAATGAGGTGGAGTTTTTTCAGCATAATGGGGAGTCTTTCGGGAGCACAGTACAGCTTGGTTGTTGGGGGGGGGGCGGTGAATGAGGAAGTACATTTTAAAGCATGGTGCAACCTGGCAGCCCAAACTGGTGGTTTCTTGGGCCGTGTGGACTTGTGCAGCATTTGAAGATACAATACGCGGGGGTGGTGACAGCTTTTTTGAGAACCGTATGGTGGGCAGACTGCAGGTGAGGGCGGGACAGCAGTTTGGGGGCATGGTGGTGGAAAGCAGCAAGGGTGTTGGGAGCAGCCGTTCTGAAGAGATGGTGCTTGACACCGCCGGGCAGGGGGAGCAGTGTGTTGTGAGGGGCAGCACTGGGAGGGTGCCTAAAGGCTGGGCAGTATCCTGGGCACAACAAGCTTGTCAGATGCGGGGGCTGGCAGCATCGCACAGAACCCAGACGCGGGGAGGGGCTGCAAGAGCAGCACAAAAGCGGGATGCTCAGGTGTCCTAGGCAGGTTCCCGCGGGGCCCGCGCGCGCTCTCTCGCGGCGCAGACAGGACAGAACCGCGAGGGGCGGAGTGGAGGGGGAGACAAAGGCTGCTTCGCGCTCAGTAGGAACCAATAGGATCGCTGCGTCTCCTGTAGGCAGTTGTACCCTCCTAACTTTCGCGGCGCCGTTAACGGCAGATGGTACGGTCCAATCTTTATCGAAAGATCAGGCTCGCCTCCGGGCCGTTGGCGCACCAATCAGCAGGGAGAGTGCGGGGTTGTGCGGCCCGCGATTGGATGAGACGGGGTGTGAC